TGATTTCGATCCCTCGATTCGATACCATAAAGCCGAGGAACTTGCCCGAGCCGACCCCGAATACATATTTCTCCGGTTGAGTTTCATATTGTATTTCCTTAGTATATCGAAGGTCTCCTATAAATATGTCAAATAGTCCTCTGATCGCAGGGACTTAACTAGCATATCGTTAATATAAACCTCCATTGATTTACATATTTGTTCTTCGAAACATTCGATTTACTAAGCGTTGATAAGTAGCACCAGCATTTTTTAGTCCAAACGACATTACATTATAACAATATGCGTCATACTTAGTGATGAACGAAGTCTTTTCCTGATCCTCCAGATTCATTTGTATTTGATTGTACCCGGAGTAGGCATCGTGAAAACTAAGGATTCCGTGGTCGGCCGTGGCATCGATTATGCGATCGATATTCGCCAGAGGAAAAGAGTCTTTGGGACATGCTTTCTTTAAATCTTTATAGTCTACGCACATTCTAAATTTATTTCCCTTTTTAGGGACTATGACTACGTTTGCTAACCATTCGGAATACTATACTTCCCGAATGGATCCTATTTTGAGAAGTTTGGCTACCTCGTCCTTGATGAATGCATGTTTTACTTTGAACTGGGGCCTTCTCTTTTGAAAGTAAAAGTTCGAAATGGTGAAGAGAGGAGCTATTTATAGATTTCATAATGACAGTTCAAAATTGGCAGTGGCCGACCATCTACTGACGCACATTTAATGCCTTGGTAACTGTACAGACGGGACGTTTTGATCACTTCCATCGCTTACATCACGAGGAAGACATCATGACAGGTCGAGGTAGAAAATCGAAGGCTCAATTCATTTCTTGTCATTACATTCCAAAATATGAGGGGACTATCTGTATACGGTTAAAACCGGGCCAACCCGATTTTCCTATTTGACCGAGACCAGAAAGTTGCATCGAAAGACTGCCTCGTAAGGGAACAGACTAAATCACGAGGATAAGGTACCGAGTTCAGAATCGAGGTACATGTCAAGATCGAGGCTAGTAGTGATCGAAGCCAAATGAGACAAGCACCGAGCAAGATCAAAGATAGCATAATAACAGAAAGACGAGATATCTGTGTCTGGTCGAGGATCATGGCATAAATCTCGGAACGGATCAAATGAGAAACGGTTAATTAGCTAATCATGGGATTTCCTTCAGTAATTAGAGCTATACCATAAGTAGAATTCCTCTACTATATAAAGGGGAGTATTAACCATTTGTAACATATACTGTTGACAGATATAAAAGTAATATAATTCTCTTTCTCGTGGATACTATTATTCATCAGCTTGTTATACTTTAATTATTCTTGCATCAACCAGTTCGAGGGCATCCAAACTCGAGGGCTGAGTTCCATCCTAACACCGGTTTGCTTTACTTTATAGTTCATTTTTGTTATTAATCCTCATATTTATCAATTTGTATTAAGTGAAATCACGTGTCCTTAGAACCACATTATAAGTTTAATTGTTATTCAATTTTAAGGGTAAACAGTTTGACACCCACCGTTTCGAACTTTTATAAATAACTCCTCTCTTTTGTTTTATCGGGCGAAACTTCGGGTCCAAGCTCAGTCGATGTGTAGTGATCTCTGGCGGGATCCCTGTCATGTCTAGGTGGGATAAAGTAAAACAATCCATGTTATTGATAAGAAATTTAATGATTTTTTCCCTGAGCTCGGGGATTAACCTCGTGCCCAGGTATACCTTTCGATCGGGTAGATGCTCGATCAATATGACTTGCCCCAGCTCTTTGACTGTCGATTTGGTGGCATCGGAATCCTTGGGGATTAAGAAGGATCGAGGGATCCAGTAGTCATTGTCCTTATCCGTTCCCTGCTTCTCCGACTGAGTCGAGGCTGGTGGCTGTGGTTGCTATTTAGTTTCCTATTTTCCTTTGGACTCTGATCCCTTTGTTGACGAAAGCGCCGATACCGGTGTTACTTCGTCGACCGTGAACATTTATTTGGCAGCATGCTATTCCCCATACATCGTTTTTACTCCATCCGGTGTTGGGAACTTCAATATTTGGTGAAGGGTTGAGGGGACCGCCCTCATGTTGTGAATCCAGGGTCTTCCGAGCAGTGCGTTGTATCTCATATCGCCCTCGATCACATGGAACTTTGTTTTTTGAATAGTTCCGTCTACATTTATTGGTAGGATGATTTCACCTTTAGTTGTTTCACTCGCCATGTTGAAGCCATAGAGAATCCGAGCTGCAGGTTTGATCTGATCTTGTAGGCCGAGCTGCTCCACGACCCTCGATCGAATAATATTGGCCGAGCTTCCTGGATCAATTAAAACACGTTTTACCTGAATTTTATTCATAAGGATAGAGGTTACCAAAGCATCATTGTGGGGTTGTGAGGTCCCTTATGCTTCCTCATCATTGAATGATAAAGTGCCTTTTGGCACATAGTCTCGAGTTAGTTTTTCCCTGGTGATTGATACTTTAGTGCGTTTGAACACGGGCCCTTGTGGAAGATCGACCCCACCAACGATCATGTGAATCACGTGCTGTGGTTCTTCCTGTTTGCATCCCTGTCTCTGAAATGGATTTTAGCTCGGTTGCTCAAGAATTCTCGAAGGTGACCCTCGTTGAATAGACGGGCCACTTCCTCCCTTAGTTGTCTGCAGTCTTCGGTTTTATGACCATGTGTACCATGGTATTTCCATATTTGATTGGGGTTTCTTTGGGATGGATCGGTTTGTAGGGGTCTGGGCCTTCTAGTATCTTTGATTCTCCCAATGGCTGACATAATACCTGATGCATCGATGATGAAGTTGTATTCTGATAATCGTGGTGCTTCTGTGGGATCGGCATGTTTATCTAAGCCACTTTTGCTCATGATCCCTCGAGAGCTCTGTCCTCGATCGTTCCTTCAATTATTTCGAACGGGATTGCGTCCTGGGCCGTTGTTTCTACGATCTGTGTTGTATGGTTGATACCGATCTCTGTTCGATCGGGGTTCTCTGTCGATATCCCTTTGAGTTCTGCCGACGAGCCTCTTGGATAAACGGAGCCGGAAAGGGTCCCTAATTGATCATCCTCGACCCTGATCTTTGACTGGTACCGATTATGTACATCGGCCCAGGTTACTGCTGGATATTCAATTAAATTATGCTTTAGTTGTCGTGATGCTACCGAACTTTATTCGTTCAAACCTTGAGTAAAAGCTTGAACAACCCGATCATCTGTGACTGGTGGTAGTTCCATGCATTCCATCTGGAACCGAGATACGAATTCCCTCAACATTTCGTTGCCTTTTTGTTTCACCTTGAAGAGGTCCAACTTCCTAGTCGCAACCTTTATTACTCCGGCATGTGCCTTTACGAAGGAGTCTGCAAGCATGGCGAAGGAATCGATGGAATTAGGCGGCAAATTGTAGTACCATATCATTGCTCCTTTCGACAAGGTTTCTCCAAATTTCTTCAGTAGAACAGATTCAATCTCATCGTCTTCCAAGTCATCCCCTTTTATTGCGCATGTATTAGAAGTGACATGCTCATTAGGGTCAGTGGTTCCATTGTACTTAGGAATCTCTAGCATTCGAAATTTCTTCGGAATGGGTTTCGGAGCCGCACTTGGGGGGAAAAGCTTCTGTACGATTTTTTTTGAATCCATACCCTTTAGAATAGGCGGTGCCCCCGGTATTTGGTCAACCCGGGAGTTGTATGTCTCTACTTTCTTGTCATTTGCCTCGATTTTCTTTTCTCCCGACTCAATCCGTTTAGTGAGCTCCTCGAGCATTTTCATTAAGGGGGATCAATCCCCGATTCGTTGGCGTTCGACCTTTCCAACACAGGTTCGGTCCTGTGAACAACTTTTGGTGCGATCCTACTCGGTGTTCGGTGCTGATTTTGTAGTTGTGCTATAGCGGCTTGTTGAGCCTGTAACATTTCAAATATCAATTGGAGGCTAACTCCACCATCTTCGCCGCCCTGCGCACCTCGACCACCTGATTGAACTTCCCTGCGTATGCTACATTCGGGATCAATGCCCAAATTTGCATTTAGGGCGTCGTGTGAACTGACATCGATGAGATTTGTAATTGGTGCTTCCTCGAGATCAGCCTGAGGCACCTCGATCCCTAGGGCAGATATATTGTCATTTTTTTCGTGAAATCCGAGGTCATTGTCACTATGTGTAGGCGTTGCTTGTGAGTTTGACATATTTATCCTGAAAACAAAGATTCTTACTTGAATAAGTATAAAGCAGTGTGTGTTATCGGAATCAATATTAAGCAATCACTATTATTCTTAGCTCCACGGTGGGCGCCAAACTGTTTACCCTTAAAATTGGATAACAATTAAACTTATAATGTGGTTCTAAAGATACGTGATTTCACTTAATACCAATTGATAAATATAAGGATTAATAACACAATTGAACTATAAAGCAAAGCAAACCGGTGTTAGAATGGAACTCAGAGTTTGGATACCCTCGAACTGGTTGATGCAAGAACAATTAAAGTATAACAAGCTGATGAACAATAGTATCCGCGAGGAAGAGAATTATATTGCTTTTATATCCGTCAACAATCTATGTTACAAATGGTTAGTACTCCCCTTTATATAGTAGAAGAATTCGACTTATAGTATAACTCTAATTATAGAAGGAAATCCCATGATTAGCTAATTAACCATTTCTGATTTGATCCGTTCCGAGATTTAAGCCATGATCCTCGACCAGTCACCAAGATTTACGCCATGATATTCGACCAGTCACGGATATCTCGCCTTTCTGTTATTATGCTATTTTCGATCTTGCTCGATGTCTGTCTCATTTGGTTTCGATCGCTACTAGCCTCGATCTCGACAGGTACCTCGATTCTGAACTCGGTACCTTATCCTCGTGATTCAATTTGTTTTGTTACGAGGTCGTCCTTCGATGCAACCTCCCGGTCTCGGTCAAATAGTAAAATCGGGTGGGCCCGATTTTAATTGTACACAAAATCCATGATATTAGCCATTCTGTAGGAGTGTTTCTGTTAACAACATGCAATTCTTCATCTTAAAATAATAAGAAAAGCAAAGAGGGACATGATAAAGAAAACTGACAGGTCAAATCCCAAAGTTTATATAAGTGAATTAAGTTCTCTGCAATTTGAAATACCCTTTCATGTGGGCAAAAGAACTAACAAAAACAGGCCCTACTTCAAATAATATCAATCAAATACTCCCAGAAACAAAGTTCTATGAAACTGGGATAACCAAGATAAGAAAATATCTGTCTATTTAGCAATAGGAAGACGTAAATCTTCGAACTAATGCGTAAGTCCTTGTTTTAACTCAAGTCATGAACTAATACTTGGGGAAACAACTATTTCTATTTTATTTCGAATTGAGAGTTAGAAACCAATTCTAATTGTACAATTAAAAGAAGTTCTTCCAATATTATGTTCTCTCAATTTTATTTCCAGAATAAAATTCTTATGAAAGTAGGACACACCACTGATGTTCTTCACATATTGTGCAAGCAAATAAGAGCAATGTCGGTTTACGCCCAAATTGCAAACACATATACAAAAATTAAGTCCTTCAAAATCTTGAACTCTCTTTCAACAAGAAAAGTGATACCGACTGCTATTCCAAAGTTCTTTATTCTTTTCACAATCTGTTAATGTGCAACAAAAAAAATTTGCAACGAACAGTATATTAAAGATACTTCTCACACAGTATTTTACATTGAGACAATCAACAACTACGAGCAAACAACGCAGGCTCTAATACTATTGATAGTTTAATAATCGCGGGGCAAGAACAATATTAGCGTACCTGTCAACAACGCAGCGGACATAGAGTTGCAATTTTTTGAACTCACCACCAAAATAATAGCCCCTAATCGCATTCTGAATCTCAACAGAGTTTTTGTTCACAAACTAAATGCCTAAAGTTTACTGTGTTCTTTCTTTTTTCTTGCCAGGGAAATCTTTGTACAGAAGAGAAATATATAGAGATGAGGAAATGAGGAGAACTGCCGATAACTTTTCCTGTTTCCACGCCCCCACTACTTTTTAACGTGCGGCACTTTTCCTATTCTTATGGGAGTTAATAAACTCCCCTGATAATTATCTTCCATCAGCATTATCTCTTATATGTGGGCCGGGTCAGTTCACATGGGCGACCCGTAACTTAAACCCAATATCCTACGGTATTGAGAAGTAATTATTTTTCTAGTTGTTGGCTGTGTGTAATTGCATTTTTCTATCAACAGGAAAACGTACCACTAGACGAGGTTTTCCAGAATCTGAGGTGTAGCAGAGAGGGGCTTACTTCTCAAGATGCTCAGAGGAGACTTCAAATTTTTTGTTATAATAAGCTTGAGGAGAAGCATGTATACATTTCTCTCTTATTTTCCTCTTAATTCATCTTGTTTATGTAAAGCTCTGTCTTTGGAATTATAAGTTAATTTGGCTTATTTGATCGAAAGTAGCTAATAAATATAAGTAGTGAAAAATAGAAGCAAATCCAAATTTTGATTTTTAATAGGTTCAGTCTTTAAACTTTCCAACATTAAATAATTATACATTTGGCTAAAACTTTAGTATTTTAGGTATATATCCATATTTTGTATTTAAAATAGCTAATAAGCTACATCCGACCTGATGAAAATCATTTATAAGTATGAAAATTAATTTTATAAATAATTTTTTATATATTTAGATAAAAATGCTGAAATAATAATACGTAACATATGTTGTGACTTAATTTTGAGAATCATCTTGCATTGCAGGAAATTTCGGGATAATACATAATTATCCCATTGTGGTTGTCTCACTTTACCAGATGCACCCTTATATTTTGCGGGGGTCCTAAGACTCCATGACTTTGTTTGAACTGTAATAAATACCATATTTTTGGCTGACGTGGCATTTGGTGTGTTTTGTACGTGATGACATCGCGTAAAAACCCTTCAAAAGTATCATTTTTCATTAATTTTTTTCTTTTTCTCTTTCTCCCTTTCTTTCTTTTTCTTTTCTTTTTCTCTTTCTTGTTTCTTCTTCAGCTATCCGCCATTTCCCTCACTATAGCTCCTTCTCCATTTCATCTCCAAACTTTCACAATAGTTCCTTCTCCTTTTTTTTCTTTTTTCTTTCTCTTTCTTTTCTTTCTTTCTTATTCTTTTTTCGTAACAGCTTTGAAGATCCAATATATAAAATGGATCCACCATGACTCAAGTTTATTTTTTTGGGTTAAAATTTTTTCTTTCCCTTTGAGAAGATCTGAAATGGAGGTGGGCTTGACGGGAATTTATCGTTAAATGAATGGAATATCCTTGATTAATATTCGAATTTTAGTAAAAATAAGGCTTGTTCTTCGAAAACTCAAAAATTCAGGCAAGAACAATAAAGAGATCTGGAAAAGATTAACAATGAAAGTTCACCGGTCAAAAAACTTTTCTTGTTCTACTAGAAAATGTGATTCTAACTTGGTGTCAGGTTTGATTTCAATTCTTGAGTTTTTCTGTATTTTGGTGATGATTTGGAATACTTTTGATGGGCTTTGATTGATTTCTATTTTTATTCCAAGAAATCTTGAGTTAGAAAAGACGGAGTTCTGCCAGAGGAAATCTTTGGCAAGTTTGAGCTCATCGGAGAAGAAGGTGCCCCCCAAAAAGCAAAAAGATAAAAAGATAAAATTAAAATAATGAACAAAAATAAAAATAATATAAAAGAAGTGACGTGGCGCAAGCTGGTTGGTGCGTGTCATCCACTAATTTTCTTGAAAGTGGTGGTTATCTCAAAATGTGGTATTTATTACAGTTCAAATAAAATCGGGGGGTTATAGGACCCTCGCAAAGTATAAGGGTGCATCTAGTAAAGTTGAACAATCACAATGGGTAATTATGTATTATCCAAAGTAAATTCCTGAAGTTTCTAGGATTTATGTGGAATCCACTTTCATGGGTCATGGAAGCTGCATCAATTATGGCGATTTGTCTTGCCAATGGATGAGTCGGCTCTTCTTTCTTCTTCCTTTCCACCTTTGGATATAAGGGTGGCAAGTGGGTCGGACGGGGTCCTAAACGGGTCAAAAGGGCCGATTTCGTGGACCGCGGTCCCGGTCCTAAAATAAATGGGCTAAACGTATTTTTTGTAGGTACCGGCTCGGGACCGGGCCCACGCATTCATGATCCCGGGCTAAACTGGCCGGGCCCGCGGTCCCAACGAACTAAATGGGCGTAACGGCTAAGCAGTAATTTTTTTTTAAAAATTAAATAGAAATTAGAGACAAAAAGATATTAAAAAAATATCTAATGCACTGCCTTGTAATTTTATTATAGAATTATGACCTAATTTTTTAATTCAAATTTAAAGACAATAATATTTTAAAAAAATATTCAAAGCAATACCTTGTAATTTTATTATAGCAATAAAAAATATGACAATATCTTTCTTAGTCTTCCCCCCCTCCCCCTCCTATGGAATGAGCATAATAAGGTGCTAATACCATCATTGAGAAGAAAAAAGAACTAATCAAGAAGTGCCAAAAATACAAGTTACATAATACATTTTTGTTCATACAAGTTACATGCTATCTCTTACAAACTTCATAAATCCTTCAAGGTTCGGAGGAAGTTACGTTGATGGTGGCGAAAAAATAGCTTGGTCATTGCCGCTTCCATTGTCGGGCGAAATAGCATCCTCAACAAGTTCAGCTAGCATTTCTTCGTAAGCTTCGTCTACCTCTGGTTGTGATTCAGCAAGTCCAAAATTTTGTTCTTTCTGAACGGATCCAATCTCTGAAAAGTACTGATTTTTCCAAGCTATCCCTCATAGACACTGTATGATCAACGATTTGAAGTTTTGGTTGACTGAAGCACTCTCCGATGCCACTGTTGAAACTTGAATAGTTAAAAATATCTCAGGTCATCGTTGAAAGAACCAGAAAGTATTTTTCTATGTCCTTCCACCATTGCAAAATATTAAAGGTGTCGTCAGAATTCACTTCCTCAAGTTGCTATGACAAATATACTTCAAGCTCATTTAGTTATGAAAAATCATTACTACTAGAACCAAAAGAACCCCTAAACCCTACCCAAACACTAAGTCCTCTTACTCCCATAGTTGTTTTAGAAGATTGAGAATCAGAAGAAGAAGGAGTTGGAACATTTGGTCTAGAATGATTTAATGCAACATTTGTTCTAATTGAGGCTATTGCTTGATAAGCATTATAAATAGTTTCAATATTTGTTCTAATTGAGGCTATTGCTTCCGAAAGTTTAGGCAATTCATCATCTTCAAGTGCTAAACTATTATAAATAGTTTCATACCAAAATTGAGAACCTTCTAATTTCATACAAGAATTTAACAAAGAAGCAACACCATAAATAGGGGGAATAGGGAAAAAAATATTTTTAAAACTTTTTTCTCATAGAATCAATAGCAAGTTGATAAATTTCCCCACCCTGTGAAAAATGAGCAAATAAATTTGTAAGTTTTGCAATATAAACTAAACAGTTAGAATAGTAGGATAATATTGCCCAGAAAATTCTTTTGTAGCAATATGAAATTTTTCTAAAATATCAACAAGCATTTTAACATTAGCCCAATCCCTATTCGTAAGGTAATCGTTATCATCACTTACATGTGCATTAGACATTTAGTTTATGGGGTTTCTATATTCATATGCAACAACCAAACTTTTATACATGTAATTCCATCTAGTTGGACAATGTTTGTACGTGAAAGTACGTCGTAAGTCAATTGATGTAAGCTCGAAAATGAGATCCGCTTTGAAAGTATATGAAGTGATTTAATGTTGTTACACCCCGTACTTCAGACATCACTGTCATTATAGGATTATCTAATATAAGCTAAAAAAGGACGAAATCCTTCTACAAGGATAAGAAAGGTTTACCGAAATCTTAAGTAAATTAAGATGAATAATAGACTTTTTAATCATGATTTAAATGAGGTAAAAGTCATGATATTACTAAATATGATTTTTGGATATAAAATATAAAGTTTGAAAAAAATCGGATTTAAGTTGCAGAAAAATCGAGCTAAGATTTGCCTTGTAACGAGCCATTTTTATGATGTGATTTTTGGATATATATCATACCAAAATGAAGGTATTTGAACCTAGTTTCCAACGATCTGAACCATTTATTCATTCGATATCAGGTAGAGAAATATAGATTTTTAAAGTAGGGTCGCCAAGTGACGTAGCTGCACTTCGGAGAAACTGGCAGGTTTATAGGCCAGGTTGCGAAGCGGTTTTCTCCCAATATATTGAGAGTTACAGGGAGATCTTTATATTGAATTAAATCCCCATGTATTTATTTTTTAACGTTTTAAACTGTTCGTCAATACAAAGGCATATTGATCTCATGACATTCTGAGAGATCTTATTGACTTACTTCATTATGCATTGCATTCATTTATACATGTACATTTACCTATGACCAGATAGCGTTATATACGCATATAGTATATATATATAAGGTATGGGGAAATGTTATGGCGTTATATACGCACCACCACCTGATCAACTGGTATACGTTAATGATTTCGCCCACAGTGCCTGGGATGATATGATGGGATGCCCTCAGAGGCTTAATGATGTTATGTACTCATATACCTATGCATGATATGATATTTATATGCACATGCATGACATTATAAATTTTTCATGATTTATAGAGCTATTCAGAATTACAGGTTGAGTTTTTTACTCCATGTTTCTTTCATGTCTTTTATATACTACTTGCATACCTTACATACTCGGTACTTTATTTGTACTGACGTCCCTTTTTCCTGGGGACGCTGCGTTTCATGCCCGTAGGTCGCGATAGACAGGTTGAGAGTCCTCCTAGTAGGCTATTAGCTCAGCGGAAGGTGTTCTTGCCCTCCACTTGCTCCGTAGTTTCCTATTTGGTCAGTATGATTTGGACATGTATTAATTGGAATGACGGGACCCTATCCCGACCTTTATGATGTTTATGTACTCTTAGAGGCTTGTAGACAAATGTCATATTTATGGATACTTGTATGGCCTTGTCGGCCTTTGGTTTGAGTGTACAAATGATCATGTCGTCCCTATAGGCTCGTATGTCACATGTATAAGTTTTCTATATCATGTTGGGTCGTCCTATATCTAGTATTCCCTTATGTTTTATTCTGGTTATCTCATGACGTCACTTCTGGCCCATTTACCCATGATGGAATGATAAGAATGATACATTACATTGGTGCTCGGTTAGGTAAGGCACTGGGTGCCCGTCGCGGCCCATCGGTTTGGATCGTGACAAAAGTGGTATCAGAACAGTTCTATCCTAGGGAGTCTACAAGCCGTGTCTAGTAGAGTCTTGTTTATGGGTGTGTTTTGCCCCACTCTTATAAGAAGGAGGCTACAGGACATTTAGGATTGTCACTTTTTCTTGTTACTCTAGATCGTGTGGTAGAGCTTAGTTGTATGAA